GGTGGTGATGAGGCTCATTTGTTTAAGGGCGGGAATTCTCGGTCAAAGGACCTGGCAGGTAGGAACATCCATTACCGTCACTAATACGAGATGCATGTTTAGATGGTCTTGCTCTTGAGCAAAGATTCTTCCAGAGGATTTGTGAAAGTGTTTTTCTGATTTCTTGAAGATTGTGAGTACATCACTGTGGCGTTAGTTTATGGCATAAACATTTTGAACAATTCAAAGGTGTGCTTTGTTTAAATCAGTGCATATGATTTCCAGGAGCAGGATTGAAACTGACGAAAAATCGGTGCAGACTGAGCGAGCAGGGATTACAAAGGGTGCTCCAGGGAGCAGCGAGTCGAAAGTATTTGGGAGGGGAAAACGTCCTGACAACATCAGTAGTAGTGCGTCCGAAACAGCTAGTACCACTGGAATGCCTGAAAAAAAGCGAGCGAAGTTGCAGTCTGAAGCGTTGGACAAAGGTGGTTGAAGGGATCTGTCGCATTTTTTATCTACTGTTTCACTGCATCATTCACTTATCCAGTGCACTTATCTGCTTTTCCCTTCTATCATCCCATATTATCCAGTATTTTATCATTGTACGTATCTCAGAATGTCATTCCTCATCTTTTTGATATCAGCGCTCATTGCGTGCTTTATCGTTGCAGGTGACTGTTCCTTTACTGCCCGTTTGCATTGTGTTCCTTTGCTTTGTGTTTTTACGGTGTAATTTTCCAAACAATTTCAAATTGCCAGTTGTACTGAATTCTATGACACAACGCGTTTTGTTGTCTTTCCCTTTTCGGAATCTAAAATATTCATACCATTGAGGCTTTTTCATGCAGTCAGGATTGTTGTTTTAACGAGATTTATCATAAATCCGGTGCTTATCGTTCTGCGCGTTGAGAACTGGTCCTGCCAGATTCCCTTCCAGGAACTTTTCACCAGCCGATGTGGCACGGGTATGACCGTGGCTCGAGGTGTGTCGAAACTCATCGAATTTTCACCTCGGAGAATTAGGCTTGGAAATCTTCGGGCCTCATCCTTCTAGCCGATTTCCAGGGCTGGTTTTGCCGCTTTAGCGATGTGCTCTGTTGACCGGCCAGGAATGATGAAGCTACGCAACTGTAGCGCGAGGTCGTAATAGGCTGCTTGAGTGTATGAGTATGGCGAGCACATTGGTTTGCTCGTTTTGTGCATGAGCAGTTATGCAGCTTGTTTGGTGTTGACTTCGTCTTTGAAAATATTTTAAAACCGTTAGTCAGAAGTTCATTCAAGCCTCTTCCAGATACGCCCATTGTTACTTGTATGGCCAAGTTATCTAAAGCGTCGGATTTTCCAACTGAATTTTACTGATAGTACATGATGGTCAGAAACATCAGAATTATGTGTGAATGCCTCGCTCGTCCGGTATTTGGAACTATTCAGATGTTTTGGTCTCATCAATATATCCTACTTTGTTGATTTATAAATAGCCACTGTTTTCCAGCTAGTTTTCGAATTGACGCAGTGCCAACTGCGAACTCTGACGTGACCGTATGAGTGGTGTAGGCGGGCGCGATAACTGGATTTGAAATCTTTTGCTCATACATGAATAAGGGACATCATTTTGAAATTTCAACTTTCCAGCTTTGGTTCTCGAAATCGTTTTCTTGCCACAAAATTTGCGTATCTTTTCGGTCTCCGTAAATGAGGTTCGGACGAACGCGAATGATGATTTCGGTTGTTGGGACG